GCCTCAGACTATAATTTAGTCTTGTACCTGCAAGTTTCAGGTTTTGTTCAAGTACATAATGGTGCAGTGGAATGCTTCCCAGCAGTCCTTCAATACATGCTCCTTAATAACAGAGAGATCATTTATTGGAGAGAATGAGCAGATTCTTGCATAAGCCTCTTTTGTATGAGGAGTTTCAAGGATATGAAAGCAGCAATTATCCTCACCTTTGCTAATACAATTAAGAAATTCTGAAGTACTGAGAAAACTCTGGAGCAATTAGACTTTGAAAATCACCTAACTATGAATTGTCATTTGCCAGGGAGCTATAGTTAGATCAAATTAAATCGTAGATGAGGGGAATGATCTGAAAGCAATCAGAGGCATTAGGGTAGGATTTCCACTGCAGTTTGTTATGGAGCTGGATCTGAACCCTCTGTCTGCCATGACCATGAGTTATAGGCACTTGGGAGTTTTTAGGGGACTAATCAGGCATTTTTTCCTAACTTAGGCAGAAAAAATACATTCTTTTTGTGATAAATGCAGAACTAATTCTACCCCCAGTCCAAAGCAAAAATATCTTACGTAATAGGAAAAATGCTGCTTAACTTCAATCTCTCGTGCTGACTCCAGCTTTTGTGAAAGAGGTAGGCTGGTCCTAACACATAGATAAAAATTTGAAAAATTTGTCCTTGATATGAGGTAGAAGAAGCTCTTGCAGGATTATTGCAGGTTAAATATCATCATTAAGAAGCAAAGCAGTCCTTGGATAAGCACTGCATTGACTTTAAGACAAAGACACGGACTGAAGAAGAGCACAGGCAGGAGCACATGTTCAGAAAGTACGGTCCAGGAGAAAATAGTGGAAGATCAGGTCTGAAGAAGAGGATACAATATAATAATCACTGCTGTTGACAGGAAGGAAATGATTTCTTCAAGATGCTCATGAATGGTGGAAGTATGGAGAGGTTTAAACATACAGTAAGGAGATGGATGATGATGAGAGTGAGAAACACCAGCTGGCTAGGGAGGGTGAGGAGCCATCATCAGATCCATTCCTGGTAGATGCTTTATTGGACTCATTTTGCCTCTGCAGAGAAGGAGTGGGTGACCCAGAAAAGGCTGTGATTTCAGCATCCCGTTTCTTCTCGGTGGGCATTTTAGCTGTGGATGAGGCTGTTTCAGCAGCATTCATGCCACCAAAGAGGAGACATGTTAATATCAGCATCAAGCTCCAACTCTGACTAAGGTTTGCTTCAGCTTTATTCTTCTAAACTAGACTACGAGTCCCAAATTATTGCTTCTCCTTGGTATTTAACCTTTTTGCTTCCAAAAAAGTAAAGGTAATGGAAGGGCATAGGAAAAACTAATGCCACATTTCAACCTGATGCATCCACGAAGCTAATGCTTTCTGATACTACATTAGTGCTTCTGAAAACAGGTTTAAGCAATAGACACACCCCTTATTTGTCTGAACAGGTAGGCTGACAATAGCTTTGTAAATAATTTTCTAAGCTGTGTGTCCATCAATATTATCTCTCAGAAGCAGGACATGCTACTAAAACTGAAGAGCATTGCATGGGTTTAGACTCAGTCCCTGAATCTTGCAGTCCTCTTGTGACCCTCGTCCCTTTTGCTTTCCCATAAAGTGGGGCAATATTTTTATCTTCCCACCTTTGAAAGTTATTGCAAAAGGAAAATGTACCTGACTTGTGTATCAACAGAAAGAAAGGCTCAGAGCTTGGAGTGCAGAATGGCTTTGCTCAGCATGCAGGAAAGCCCAGGAGTCTGGTTTAGTCATATGAATCTAAGGCTGGATGTAATGTCTGGGGCAGCAGCTTTCAGCAGGATGCACTGTGGAGGTTCACAGTGCCACAAACCCACATGTTCACCCACAACAAACCCCATTTGTTAAATCAACCAGAGGATAAGAAACCCACTGAAATCCAGAGTTGAACTTCCAACAGCTCTTCAGCACCAGGTGACTAAATATCTCTTAAAACCGAGCCCTGAGACATGTACAAAGCGGTAAGATCTTATGGGATGTCAGGGATTTCCTCACTTTTGTAAATCCTGAGGGGTTGTTGCCAAACACCAGATCAGCACCTGAATGAACTATCTCTTCCCACAGGAAGGATGAGCTGCCTCCATAACGAACACCAGGGCAACAACTTTTATATTTCCAACCTTGTTCATAGTCTTGATAATCTACGAGCCACTCAATGCCTTTGGAAACATTTTAGTCCAAATATCTGCCTGGAGACAACCTTAAACACCCACCAAGACATGAGACAAGCAGTTTATAAGTCAGACTGAAAGGAAAACACCAATTCTACCAACACTGCCCAAGAACTGGAAAAAGTATAATCTTAAATTATCTTTAATTATTACTTATTATTAATTATTATACTAATTATAACTATATATAGACATACATATAACTAATCTATATATATTTTTATATATAGATATATAGATATGAATACTTAATTATCTTTAATTATACTTGAAGTATCTTTAATTAACAATAAGATCCTCGGGTTACATGGCTTTAAGAGAACATATAACATCAGCTTTAAATCTAGTTTCTAGAGAGTAAGGTTCTGTTTCATTGTGGCGGGAAGTGCTGCCCTCAGAAATGTTTCTGCATCCCTGGTCTAGTTGAAGGTGTTCGAACTAGATGGTCTTCAAAGTCCCCTTCCAACCCACAATTATGACAGCCAATTTGAATCATGGTAGGCCAGGAGAGCTGTGGCTGGAGGAATAAAACAAGAACCTCTTTCTTCCACGAACCCTGCTAGTTGCAGTCATCTTCTGTTATCTTTGTTAGGACCCTGTTAATACCTGACCAGTCAGAATCACAGAATAAAAGAATGATTTGGGTTGGAAGGGACATTAAAAATCATCTAGTTCCAAGCCCCTGCCTTAGGCAGGGACACCTTCTGCTAGACCAGGTTGCTCAAAGCCCCATCCAACCTTCAGTGACTCCTGCAACTGGCACTGGACAATCCTGCACTCAGCAGTCTGAACAGCTCAACTCTTTCTCTTCTCAATAATAAGTTTGCCATCTCTTACCCCTCCTGTCTTACAGCCAAGCCTTCTCGGAGGATAAACCACAGGGACAAACTCTCACCACACTTCAATCACTTTGAAAGAGAATTTATACCCACTGTGTAAAACAAACAGTATTTCAAACTCATTTTGAAAGACAACTCAGTGAAAAAATGGATGAATCCTGTGTTTCTGTTGGCTTTGTTATAACTGATTACATTTGCTATAGCATGCAAGTAATTTCAGATTTCACTGGGAGGTTAACAAACAAAAAGCTCACCTTGCAGGGTCACTTAGTGCAGTCCATCAAAGGACACCCTGTCCTGAGCTCCAGCTCTGCTGCTGAGAGAGCCCAGCCAGGGGATGCTCCCGCTGGCTCAGGATAGCTGTCTGTCCACCTCTTCCAAGGTTTGCCTGCATTGACAACTTGATCCCATGCTTATCCTAATCTTCTTTTGAATGGAACCTTCCTTTTGTTCATGGAGAACTCATACTGGGGGATATCAATGGGGGTATCACTTCATCCAGACCCCTCACAATGAGAGCAGCTGACGCTGTGCTCCTTTCCCAGCTTCCCTGGGGTCTCTGTGGTAAAATCTTGTGAAGGACATTAATTCATCATTAGTAAGAGAGACCCAAGAGGTCTGCAAGTTTGTCCTGGATAATGTTCCTCATTATTAACAGCAGACTCAAGCAGGTATCGGTGATTCAAGTGTAGTTACAAGGGTAAACTGCTTAATTTACAACAAGGAATTTATCTGGGAAAGAAGGAAAATAATTTCATGCCTCTTTGTTTTTCTATGATCCCATTACATCAATGGATGACACTTCCTTTATAACAGTCAAATATGAAATAGGAACTGAGGATCAGAGAAGGGATTGCTTTGAACTCCTGTCCAGGGAAGGATGGAGGATCTGGCCCAAGCTTAGTTTCGGTGTTAAATATCTTCTTCCTTTCCCCAGAAATCTGATGATCTACAGGTTATAGTCACTGCACCTGACAAACCTGTAGTGCCCAAGCAAAATAAGGGCCTCTCAAGCACCTCCTCAGTCCTGTATCACTGGAAGTGAGGGCTCCAGACGCATCCAGGGGGTCCACCTCCACCGTGGGAGAGATGTGCGTGGGTGAGTGGGCAGGACCTGAGCAGCACAGAAGACAAGGGAAAGGCACTCCAGTAGCCTGAGGACTACCCACCTGCTAAAGCATGAAAGGCACGCTGCAGAGGGGAGGTGTGAGAGCTTTTCACAGGAGAGGTTGTCAAGATCTTTTCATAGGCAGCAGTCAGCACAGAGAGGGTTTGGGCGGGTTTTTCCTCCTGCTCAGTTATACAAATAGTTCTCTACAAATAGTCGAGAGGACGAGTCAGTTCCACGAGCAGCAAAATGACTGAAGCCTCCTCTGGTTTGAATTTGTCGGAAACTAATAAAAGATGAATGTGCACCAGGAGCCAGTCCCTCCCTGTGGACCCTCTGTGGGGAGAGCTGCTTCACACCACTTCCCATAAGGCCTGGAGAAGCCACGAGACGGGGCAGAAATCAGGCAAAGAGTTCAGGTCTGCCCAAGGAATGACCAAGTGCTTTCATATGGGCACAAGACTTCTTTTTGTTTTCAGAATTCATAGAATCAGATGTTGCCCAAGCACCGTAGCTTAAGGGACGATCTCTCCTTGATGGTGGCTGACATATTTTATATCAATACAGCACCACTGGTGCAGCGATCAGCAGCATGCAAGTATCTATTCTAAGAGATAAAAAAATCCACCAGGGGTTTCACACTTCAGTTATCTTTGTAAGACGAACAATGCCACAACCTTAAAATACTTCACGAGCACTTTTTCCACTGCACCCAGATAGGCATCTCCTCAACAGTGTGCCAGGGTCAGCTAAGCCCTGTTTTGTTCCACAATGCCTTGTGCACTTATTCACCGCTTTTCTTGTGGCTCTCCTGTTTTTATTCATTTATTTCTGCTGCCCTCACAGTCCCAAGGGCAAGCCTCAGCACCTGTGGACCTCTGAGCACTGTTCTGAGGTGGCCCTTTGTGTGAGCAACAACACCGCAGACACTTCAATCTGTAGGTGTAAGGGAAAAAGAAAAATCATTAAAATATAGAATCATAACTGTCACCCATCCTCAAACCCATCCACACAGGCACTGGAGATGACTAAGAACAATCCAACTGTCCTTCCCAGTTTCAGTGAAAAGGTTTTAGTCTTCAGTATGGGCACTGTTAAGACACAGTACCAGCTTCTTCTCAGTGCAAAGCTAAACTCCACTATGAATCACTGTTTCCTGATTTATCAGCAGCTGTATGCAGAGATTAAAAAGAGAAGGTGACACAACTAACCTTTGACATGCTGCATCCCCAGTATGATTTTACCTAGGCCACTTTCTGGAGTGAGCAAAGAATCACTGAATGGTTTGGGTTGGAAGGGACATGAGAGACCATTGAGTTCCACCCTTCTGCCATGGGCAGGGACAACTTTCACCAGGTTGTTTAAAGCCCCATCCAACCTGGCCTTGAATGCTTTCAGGGATGGGGCATCCACAACTTCTCAAACATCCTCACTGAAAACAAAGACAGAAGGGAGCAGCCACAGCTATTGCTCTTCCCATGCTTTGGCCAAGGCAGTGGGTCAGACACCCTAACCCTAATCTCACCCTAATCCTAATCCTAAAATAGTTTCCAAACCAGAGTCTGATGCTGACTTACAGCTCCATTACTCAATGTCACATCAAGGGGTGGGACAACCATGCTAGGAGGGTCCCACAGAACCAAACAATCACCGCAAAGAGTTTATCTATGACCTGGGACATAGACAAGAGCTCCTTGTCTTCTGCTCAGCACCATTTACTGTGAGCTCCCCCCAGGACGCTACAACTTAAATTATACAGACGTTTTCCACTCCAGCAGAGGAAGATTTAGAGCAGCAAACCACCTGGATATATTTTGGAATATGTATTTTACTGCAGCACACAAAGAGAGGACAACCCTTCATTTCAAACCTGCCTGTGGAGCTATCTAGGCAGCTAAGGTTTTTGTTGACGTTTTTCAGTGAAATTTCAGCAGAACTGAGACATGTTGTCACAATACTGCAAAGGGCCTGTGAGCGCTGAGCATTCCCATCAGGCCCACAGGACAGGAACAACTGTGCCTTCTTTCTGGTGGGAGTCCAGCACCAAAGTTCAACACCACAACAAAATAGAGAGATCTGATAGCCCCACTGGCAAGGTGCTGTGCAAGCATCCAGATGAAAACACTAACCCCTGCCTATGATGTTTTGAGCTGTTTTTCAGACAAAACTAGTGACTTTTCTGCAAAATACTTTTATCACCCCTCACCTAGTACCTTCAGTCCTCTGTTGTTCCCTGCAGACCATGTTTTACCTGATTGACCTACAGACCAAGACCATTTTATCTGCCCCTGAAGCAAAACTTTGGCCAAGGCAGGCACTGAGCTGCTTCTGAGCAGAGGAGTTTGGAAAACCCAATGACGAAGATAAAACCTTGCAGCTGTTTCACTACCTGCAACTAATTTCAGAAGTTGCTCCAAAGTGAACAATAGGTCAGATAGGAACTTGTCAGGTTTTAACTCATTTATGGGGGGTACGTCTTCCTGGTTATCTGTGAAGAGCACGGGAAGGACTGATATTCCCTAAAAAACCCAGAAACTAAAGTCAGTGAGGAAACCCTCACAGGCACACAGCAGCATGATGGGTCTGTAGGCAGGTGGCCTTGTTACAATCCCTGCTGGTATTCTTTTTTCTCATCAGTCTGAGTGCAACAGGCACCTCAATTTCCATAGGAAAGAGAGGAGCTGGCATCACAAACCAGACAAAACCACAGCTGGTCTTGTTTTCCCTGCAGAGGTGCCTTGCCAGTATCACAGTTTCCCAGCTGGAGGTGACCTGCATTATGATGACCACAGCTCAGTCAACTTTATTTTTTTCCCTAAAAGCTTATGTTCAGTTCTTGTGGTGGAGGAGCACTGTCCCAGCTGTAGCAGGCAGACCTGTCCCTCCAGGATGGGGAATGGGACATTGAAGTTGAAGGCAGGAGCTGCTACTCCTGAGCCCTGCCAACCTTTCAATCCAGGCTGCATAGGCAGGATCCTAAAGAGGACAGGAACGTAATCCTGGGCTCTATCAACTAATACACCTAAGCCGTAGGAATTAAGTATAATTTACAAGTCTTTAAAGAAACCCACAAGAGAACAAGCCTTTCAAAAGCACCTGAGGCTGTTCTGAACAAAATTTCATCGACTTTCAGCAGCACTTCTGCTGGTACGTGCTGCAGGAGTCTCTAAAAATTCTACCCTGAGATGTAATGCAGCAAGGGTCAGACAGGAGCTGCTTTCTGCTCGTGATGGCCTAAAGCACAGCAGCTGAATGCTGCAGGACTTCATGCAAAGGCTTTCCTTGAATTCTGACACATCTCACAGCATGACCTCCATCTGACAAGCTCTTCAAGGAAGCACTGGTGTGAACAAAGACTAAGCCTCAAAAAGAAACTCATCCACCAGCAAGTTCCAAAACGTGCTGATTTGGCATTAGTTCAGTATAAAGGTGATCCTAATTCAACTAAGGGTCTCGAAGAACTGTCTACCTTGTGGGCGGGGCTGGCACTTTACAGAGGCTGCTCTTCAGCAGCTGGGCAGCAGTGAGGCACCAACCCAACCTGCTTTCAGACTTTGCTGCTGCCTTTTCACTAGAAATTTTGAATTTTGAATCCCAGAGTGCAAGTCTGGAGTAATTTTGGTGCAATCAAAGTGGGAAGGAATGAGTACTACTGCGCTTGTTTCGGATACAGTGGAGGTCTGCATCTTCAAAGTGATCCTCGGCCACAGTGATCCCCAGACATAAGACAGAATATTTGCACTAACATATTTCTTGCAAAAAAAAAAAAAGAAATGTTCCTTGTGTACCTGATATCTGTAGATATCTGCAATGGGTTAAGTGCAGGCTTCAACAGAGCACCTGGGAGATTCCACTGCTTTGCAGCAATGACATACTGAAAGAAAAATGGAAAAAGAGATTGCAGGACTCTCCTCTGTAGCCTTTTCACTCCCACCCCTGCTCTGCTGTTGCTAAAATCCTACTTTGGCTCTGGCTGGGGACGACACTCCTCCCTGTCTATCAGCTCCACCCTCCCTCCCCTTTCAGCAAGGAGACCATTGAGTGCTCCAGCTGGGCAGCCGGACAAGGGGCTTCCCAGCAGCAGGCACATGCAGCCATCACTGTGCATCACAAGATGTCGTTGCTGTGCTGCTTTTGTCCCTTCTGCCTACTGCTTCCCTCACAGGGAAACGCACTGCCTTTCCCACCCAAACCCCAACTCGTGCGCTCCAGGCATTCCCTCGGGAGCACCCCACACCTCTACCGACTGTTTGGGGCAGGTTTCCCACAGTACCCGCTTGTCTCTTCCTAAAACACCAGTCTGAGGGAGAGGTACCAACACTTTGCTCCAGCCACTCATCCCAGTGTGTGAGCAGCTGTACACGGGGCCTCCCATGCCATGGCCACAGCGTGGACATGCAGGACTTGCAGCAGCACCTTGAGACACAAGCTGGGCTGTGTGAGGACTTTGTCCTGCCTGGACCTTAAGAGCAGGGCTGCCCCACACAAAGACTGCTTGGATGGGACTGCTGGGATGCTGTTTTATATGGAGAGAAGGGTTTAGGAATGAAAAAGCACCTCTCTCATTGCTGTAGCTGGAAGCCCATGCTTGTGCAGCACCTATGGAGAAGGGAACATGAATGCTCTTCCCAACGCCACGCTGGGAATGGAGATTTTTAGAGCTGTGGCTAATTCTTCCCCTTTATCAGCCACTGAACTTCATTGAGCCAGGAGGAAAAGGAGAAGAAGTATCTGCAAAGCTCAGCAGCTGACCCAAGCCCACAGAAGAGAAAATAGGATTGCTACATGGGCTTCAGCCTGTATCTGCCACAAGACCTTTTGCATCCTACCTCTGGATAAAATGTCCAGTCTTTTTCCACACTGTAAATTTAAGACATGGAAGTTGTGTTTGGCAATTCCTAATTTAGTGCAAGGTCTTTGGAGATGTAGTGCTGTGGCGTGAATTAAGATGGGTTCAAGCACCCCCAGTAACCAGACACAGTTTTCTTGCTTGTTTGGCAGTGACCATCCTTTCAAAATCTACTTGACTCTTGGAGCATTTTGCACACTCCAGAACAAAAATTGCCCTGCTAACACCACTGCAGATCTGACAATATTTGGGATATCTATTGCTCAGACTGATGTAATATCCATAACATTCAACATTCAACTTCTTTACAAGAAGCACCTGACCAATGGCATTATTTACTTTTAAAAGAACTTGTGCAGCAGCTACAGTAAAGCCCCAAAAGAATTTCCCCCAAAATGGATTTATTACAGAAACCCCATTTCCTTGTGAGGTCAGGGAAGTTTTCCTGCATGGATCTAATCCACAGCCCTTCAACTCCAGCCCAAGGACCTCGTGTTGGACTTGCACTAAATTCACACCAAGAGCTTTAAAGAGTTTTTTAAAAACTAACTACTACTCCTAGGATGGGGTGTACAGAGCCTTCCCTGAAGGCTTTCATAGTGGACAAGCCCAAAGGGCCAATACAGGATTTGGTTTGTCTTTACATACTACCTTGAAAAATAAATTCAGCTATATTGGAGTTAGGCTAGTCCTTTGACTATATCAACTATTGTTTAGTGAACTCCCTTTCAAACTTTTAGTGGTGCCACAGATCGCTTATTTGTAAATCTTGTTTACACCTGGTGAACTAAAGAGTGAAACTTTAGCACATTCACTTCTGAAAACCCAGAAATCCTTTACACAGCAGGAGGCAGATCCGTACCTTCCTCGTTCCTCTAAATCCCCACTCAAAGGAAATAAGCAGCAATTCATCATCCTTTTTAACAACCCACCAGAATCCCAGAGGCACTTTACATCCTTGGTCCAAACCCTTGGGCAAATGGCACGAAATAAAACAGCTCGTAATCCCAGCCATGGCCCAGCGTGACAAGAAAGCCAGAGTCCCTCGCAGGTTCAGTGCTGCACTGCTGGCAGCAGAACCATCTCTGAAAGCTTTTTTGGAAAGAAATGAGATTCCCTCACTTGCTTTGCCAGAAGCAAGAGGTTTGAGGCATCGAACAGCAGAAGCACCTCTGCAAAGCCACCTGAGTCTGCCCAGTGACACTCAGAGGATCCTGTGGCTGTCCTCAAGGGTTTTTTCATAAAAATCTCACATAGAAATATAAAATCACCCAGTGCATGTGTTACCACCTCCAGACCAGAGGGGAGCATGTAACAAATACTGTCAGTGCCTATTAAGGGGTTTCACTTTACTGGATCTGGCAAACACAAATAAGCATTTCAGAGTTGAACTAGCTCGCAGAGGTTTAGCCTTTGGATTACTTACTAATGAACTCCCCACAGTCCAGACATTTAATTTCATTAAATTGCCAAGATGGTTCCAGTTAAAGGCCTGGGTCAAGTGACACACTGCTGCTTTGCAGAGACCTCATCGGGAAAAAGCACATTCCTCTGTTTAAATAGATACCATTTTATAAATATCTGCATTGTGCAATTAACCTAAATTAACTGTTTTTCCCCAGTGTACCACTGGAAAACCCAGTAGGACTCACAAGCAAGGATCATGCTTTTGGAATTTTCTGCTTCTGAGGCCAGAAGGTCCCCTCAGGGCCTGCTGACACAGCAGTACTCTCCCAGCCTCAGTTAACTGCTCACATTTTGCTCTCCCTTTCCCAGATTCCCAGGGATCTCAGCTCACAGATGTAGGCTATTGAAACTGGGATTTCCACCAGATTCAAGGAGGGATGCTTCACCCTACAGCTGATTGCAGTCCCCTCCCTCTGCTTTCAACAAGATTCTTTGATCTCTTCAGTCCATTAGTTCAGTCCTTGGTGAGAGGTCTCACGCTGGGGTAGAGAAGAAGGGAAACCTGGTAGGCTCCAGGGAAATACTGCCTGTCCTGTCCTGCTCAAGTAGCGGGACAGCAGGATCGGTTCCTGCATCCCACAACATCCAGTGGTTTACAGGCTAACCTGCAGCCCTCCAGCAGCAGAGGAAGGCTCCCAGTTCCATCCCACCCCTTCTGCCCACAGCTGCAGACATGCGAGCTGAAACCCACCCCTGGAGCACCCGGCTCCCTCCCTGGGCTGCTGGAGCCTCTCTCGCTGATCTCACAGGTTTTGGACTCAGCCCACAATAATCTGCGAGATCAGAAATCCTTTGGCAAGTGAGCAGGGCCGTGAGCCGAGAACAACCGAGGGAGTGAAATTTAATTTCCAGAATGGATGGCTGTGGGTGCCTCATTCTCCCGGCTGCGTCCGCGTGGGACTGCAGAACGCCGCGCTCCAGGCGAGAGGCTGCCACGGCGCCGGGAGGCCCCCGTCGGGCACGCAGCCCCAAATCCACTTACTCTTAATAGTGCTGATTTGTCTCTTCTCAACTCCAGCTTTAGGACTTTTCCTTCAAAAGGATTAATTTCTTCCTGACCTACTTTGTCGGCCACCATTGAATGGCACTGCCATTCAGAGAGGTGAGGAGGTAACAATTTGGCACAGCCAGTTTGTCCCTCAAATTCCCCCTCGGCCAGCAGGGACCTTTGCACCACACTGCCTAGAAGGTGCAAGCTCATCGTGCTTGGATGCTATTTTCCACTGGCAGCTCTCACTGCAGCAGCCAGCATGACTCTTAGAGCCTGAATCCAGCATGAATCGCCCTGATAAAAGGAGCATGGTTGGATTGATGTTGCCACTCTCACTCTCATAGGGTTGAGACACTGTGGGGTATCACTACACATGGATAATACACAGTAGAGAAGCATTTATCCCCACACAGTAAGGGAACTGCTAAAAGACATGATTTAATAAAAGAAAAAGTACAGGTGTGTTTCCCCAAGAGATTATTTTCATGCTGGCACCTGTAGGTCTCGTATCAGCCCCACCAGAGAGTCAGAGACAGCAAAACCAACAACAGCCAGACCTAACTACTGATCCATTGAGTTAGACACCCAAGTTCTCTTGCTTCATTGGATTGGATTTTCATTCAGAACCAGGACATCACTCTCAGAGAGCTCTTTGCTAATCATTCTCAGTGCAGTTATTCCTGTGCAGATAGCCCTGAATTGTGGAAATGCAGAGAAAATAAGGGGTGGTCAAGAACAGATCACAGCGAGATCCAGAGTGTCTTTCTCAAAGATATGCCCTAGTTCAGCCACAAGTTATTTGGCTCTGTGCAGGGATCACTGAGTAAGCCTTTATGCCCTTTAGGCAGGGAGTGAAAGGACCTGGGCACGGGGTTTCCTTCTGCCCTGACAAGGTAGAGTCTCTGTACCAGCATGAGGCTGCTGCCAGCAGTGGGAGAAGCCCTGTACATCCACTGTGAGGTGTCCCAGATGGAGATCTGTCCCTTTCAATTACAAATTTAGTGAAAAAGGAGAAATAAAATAAAATTTAAAAAAGAAAAATCACAGCTGTTGGAGATACCTCTTGAAAGTGAAAAATCAATATCTGGCTTTAAAAAAACAAATAGAGGTGAGATAGAGAAGCTGCTGCTGTTGCATCCAGCTTCCAATCCCAGCTCCATTGTAGGGATACTCACTGCTGTGGAGAGTTGCCAGTGATTTCAGCAAAACTTCTTGAAAAGCATGGAATAGCCTGGACTGATCATTCATTCAGTATTTATCGTAAAAGGGTGTTTGGGATGAAAGTATTTTTCAATCACACTGAGGTGTGTGTCTGCATTGCCTTCTTATTTACACCTTTCAAATATTCAACAGAAGAGTGCAAGTATTTGATGTCTGAAGATGACCTTCTATATGCATGTCATGTTTGCATAAAAAAAATTATTGAAGCTCTTGTGCAAATTACACCAACACTCCATATAATAAGTTTTGGTCAGCAAAACTTGGAAGGAGAACAGCAGGAAAAGAAGTTTGGAGACTGCAAACAATAATTATTTGGAGAAGCAGAGACTTCCATACAGAGACATAGTAAGGATCTCTTTCAGTGCAGTTAGAGATTAATAGCCTCAGAAGGATATAATAAATGATCAATACACTGGAACTTGGCTACTTGGACCAAAGGAAAAAATACCTACTGTGCTTTTCTTCTCCTTCTTTCTCTCCATTTTCTCCCTTCAAACAAGGCAGCGTTTTAAGGAGGTGCATCCTGCACTCTGTGCAGCATCCTGGGGTGCCTGTAGCCTAAGGATGAAGGGAAAAGCCTGTCTTTGCCACCTCAGATTAAAAGATCTGTTTAACCAAGGACTAAAGAGATTTTCCTCTGACACATTCCTATACAGCAGGCAACTCTTGTCCAGAGCTACAAAAGGTCCCCCGTCTACGGTTCACAAATCTGGGGCTGGATTTACTTCATTAAAAATAGTTCATGGAATGTTAATGGCACTTAATTGTATTCATTGCACTAATTTTGCCAAGATTTTTTTCTCCCTTGATTCCCAAAGATGGAACAAAGTGCTAATGTATTGCAGGCTGCCGAAACTTATAACCTGTGGTCATGATTTTAAACACATGTAGAGGTGCTAATTGCATTCAGTTTACACAACTGTAGATGGGAAGAACATTTTTCACACCTTATCAGTGCTGGGGAGGCGATAACTGCATTTAGAAGACACCACTGCTGTTTAAAAGGTAATTTCTTGCACTTCATCGGAGCTTAACACATGCTCAGCAATGCAGCCAGCCAAAAATACCACACCATTGGAGTTAATGAGGTGCTTGCACGTTTTTTAACAAATGGGAATTGTAAAAAAATTTCCCCTTTTCTTTTTAATAAAGAGTAACAAATTCCTGCAGGTGCCACGTGTTTGGAGTTGGTGGCTGCCTACCTCAATGGAATTTCTGAGCATGGTGCCTGTGCTCTCTGCTGGATGGATGCCGACCCTGACTGTGTGAGCTGTGTGCCCCTGAGCAGCAAAGTCCCCTCCCAGGGCAAAGCAAGCAGCACAATCCCTCTCTGGCTTCACAGCCTGTGAGGGCAGAGACCCCGAGGCATCAGAAAACACCTCGGGGCTTCTTTGAAAGCAGAGATTCAGCAAAACTACTTTGCTTACCTTGTGTAGTTCTCTGGATAATCCCTGAGGTCTGGGCCATCCAAGCAGTAGATTTTGGCTAATGTTCTCCTGCAGCTCTCCTGCTTCCCTGCCACCACATCCATCAGGGTGCCAGGCAGCCAGCCTGGTGCTAAGACCAAGCAGAGCTCTGATGTTTTGCAGTCTGAGGAAGGGCAACCCAGTACCCTCTTGGCTTCACCCTGGTGTACCAAGAAAATGTGTGTGGTGTTCAGAATCACCTCTATGACAGTAGTCCACTATGGCCTACTCTATGGCAATAGCCCACTCCTCATCTCTTCTTCTGCTGCTTTGCTAGCTATTGTTCATCTCCAGGAAGTGTTGCCTGTGAAAAAACTGAAGCCTTTTGCCATGTAGCCAAAGATAGTTTTGCGATCAGATGTCACAATTTTGTGCAATTTCAGTGTATTTGACTACAATGTAAATGGTTCTCTTTCCCTCCTCCTGTGCTTTGAGGACCCTTTGACTCTTCCCTGAATCTGCCTGTGATCTTTGACAGAAAGTCCCCTTTACAAGGTGCAATATGCTAAGGATTTTAGTCTGTCCCAGGTACTTTGGACATGCAGCAGAAGTGAGACAGGGCTAGTCTGAGGCAAACATTCCTACTGAAAGGAGTTTCCCTTTTCTTTAAATAAAGAAATCTAGGATAAACCATTTTTCTGGGAATAAAACTGGCTGGTAGGGGACCATTACAAGGCTCCTCTGGCAAAGGCAAGCAACTAAATAGCTAAGTAACTTTAAGAGAAACTATTTCAAAGCAAAGAAAAAACCCTGCCTTTCTAATCCCCAATATAACCACTCTGGATGCTTGTCTTGAATGGCATGCTGGTATGATGTTAAAAAGAAGCAGAGATTTTTAACTAATAGAAGCATGAATATTCCTCCACATTACCTCCAAAATCCTTGAGCTAATAAAGCTAATCCAAAGACACAAAGGTAGATTTGCAAAGCAAATTTGCCCCGGTAATACCCACATGACACTCCCAGGGAGATGTGGGCAATCACCCCAAGCAGACACTGCAGCTCAACAGCATTGAACTGGGAGAACAATCACAGCCTCCAACCTATGCCTTGTTTTTTTTTTTTATATATGTCTTTTTATTTATTATTAAAGTAAGACTTTCTGCAGAGTTGATCAGCATGTGATCTCTCATTGCTTTCTATTTTCTTTCTTTTTTTCCCCCCATTTTTAAAAGCTCTTTTCTTTGCAGAAAGAATCATAGCTTTTTGTTAACATAATAAAATGAACATCACTGGTTGCACGTTAAATACTGGCTGCCCAACAGGTTTTTATAGCTGCCCTACTGCAGCTACCCTAACTAGAGGGTTGAGCCCCAATTCATACTGACAGCAGTGGGAAATGGGATGACTTTCTTGCTCACAGTGGCAACTTCATGCCAGTTCCTTTCCCCAACAAAGTTCCCATTTGTCCTGAGTCCTCCCAAAAGACATCTTCGTGAAGCACTGGTCCATTTCTCCAGCCAATTTGGAGTAAGTTTTCCTCCAAACAGCAAAATAAGAAGGAATCCAAAAAAAGCCCCTATTGTTCAAGCAGATTCCTTTTATCTTTCTCTATGATGAATTCCCAGCAGAGCAGGAGTGGGTAGATGACCCCAGCAATTTTGGTGTTTAGGAGAAGCTCACCCCCATACACCTTTTTTTGCTCTCCCGAGAGTCCCTGCACACCCTGGAACGTTGCAGCTTGCAGCAGCCAGAACATCACTGCCGTGCATCCTTCTTCACTTTTCCATCTCCAGCATATTATTTGAATTGTATGTAATAGACAGCAAACAGTACAAAGACACAGATATTTGAATGTGGTCATGTTTTGCTTTTGTGGTGCATGAAGCAGATAGAAGTGATTTGCTCTGTAGCATAAATTAACATGATCTTAAGGCAGCATTTGTTTGCATTCAATGAAACACCTTCTTAGGGAAACACTTTTCATATTAAGCATGTTTTGGGTGGCAAAGCTTGACTAGCACTGCATTCATGACTCTCCAATTCAGATGCAGATGGAAAGATGCCATCATCCCAGGAACGAGCCGGGAAACTCGTCACTGAGCCTACCCACAGTGAGACACGTCTTGCGGCTGCTCATTTATCAGCACGGTAGGAGAGATCACACTTATGTAGAACCTGTGAGCAAGTGGCTTCGATGGCTGGAGGGGTTTCCTCATCTTCCAAAATGAAAGGTCCTTTTCTGTTGGATAGCTTTCACCCCTGTCAGCCCAGAGCCTGGGAGGATCCCTCGCCTCTTCCCTTTGCTATGCTCCTGTGTGACACCGCATTGGTCACCCAAGTGCAAAGAGCTTCCCTTCCCTGCCTGAGGGCTCTTTGAAGGTCACTGCCTTCCCCTGCAATAACCTTGGGAGAAAAGGTGTCTTCTGTGCTGGAGTTTGGGAATTACAAATTTAACTCCCTCCTCTAACAGGACCTGGGCTCTGGTTTTGGGACATTTACACCATTTGAACTATGATTCTTTCCTCAGCTGTAAAATGAGAAGAGATCTACTTCTTTCCTCTCTTATCTTTAACCACATCTTTATATCTATTCCTTATCTATTTATAGTTCAAACCAGAAAGCAGGATTGTTTCTAAAGCACCTGCAGGCTGTCTGGGCAGTCCAACCTCTTTAGGATAATTAACAAGGCCACTGCAGAGATGTCCATGTCGATGGCTTTACTCAGGGTCTGCCAGAATTTCCTTGGCACCAGTAGGAACTAATAATGTGGGGGGAGCTGAGGACTCTTCCTCCAGGGGAAGAAGCATAACCCAGCTGACTGCAAGATGAAAATTTACTACAATATGAAGGGATCACCATGGAAACCTCTTTATTTTATTTCAGCCAATCTTTCTGCGCTGTCAGTGGCAATATCACCTTCTCACTAGCCATAAAGAAAAGGTTCCTAGAGAGGTTTGTAATCCTTGCTGGCTGGCCAAGCCATCTGCCAGGAAGACATGTTTTCTCCAGGAAAACTATTTTCTTGATGGTTCTTCTCACCATGTGTGACTCTACTGGTAAAGGATAAGGCACTGCTCTGGTCCTGCACTGGTCCTCCTGTGAGGATGCTAGATTTTAACTTTGAGAATAAGAACAGGTACAAGCAGGAAAACCTGCTTTGTCACTGCCACCATTTTTGGCTGTTCCCATACCTCCATGTTTTGCCATGTGTCTGCCCTTGAGCATCAGCCCTTGAGGAACTGCATCGATCAGCTACACCCTAGTGCTGAACCAGTGACCTTTGTGCAAGCAGGGAAGCAGGATAAAAACAGTAGTTTCTCTATGGAAAACCTTAAATGAGATCATTTGGAGAAGTCCTACCAAATGAAGCTCCACTTGAATCTTCTTTGCAGGAACATAATACTTGAAAAAAACAAAATATTCCATTTTGGCTTCCAGCTGTGGTGATAAAGGTGAGGAAGGGTACTGCTGTCTCTTCGAATAAACTACATTCCCTACAAATACTTCACAGAAAACAAGGTCTTTGCGTGGCAGACCCATCCTAGTCCTGTGGCTGTAGTAGTTTCAAACTCCACATGTCAGAGTGAGAAGAGCTTCAGTTTTGGAAGATCACCATGATCTAAACTGCAGAGGGAGCTGAAAAAGTCAGTCTTTTCAGACATTTAGTGCATTGCATCTGAGCTTTACTTAGATCTGATACAAAGAAAATCTCAATTCACATTTACACTCCTGAATAAAAAGACTCAAAGCCACCACCTTGTTCATTCAGAGGTGTTTCTAAAATGATGACTGGTTTGAGGAACGCTGGCATTGTCCGTGGGATATGCGACAGCCTCACTTGGTTCAGCTTCCCCTCTGCAGGAGCTGTTGTGAAAGTTCACCTCCCTTCAAGCGGAGCACAAACTCTGCTGGCAAAACCTCTCATTCTGGAGAAGATATCGCCCATTCCCTCTTCATGCCTGGATGAGCACAAGCATCTATTTGCAAATGAACACCCTGCCAGAGCAACTCCCATCTCCAAAATCTGCCAGGTGGGCAGGTAATGACTGCCTGCCCCTCTCAGGGTGCCAACATTCACCCACAGTGAGCACCGTCCTGACGAGCTGTCTCCTGTAGCTCCAGCTGATTGCATTAGCCAC